GGAATATATAGGGTTTGAGTTAGTAGCAAGCCAGAAGCAGAGCGTTTAACTTCAATCCCAAGAAAATATGACAAATCATCTAAATCTTTAAGCGAAAAGCGAGTTGAAAGGGAAAGAATGAAAAGCTTGAGATGATCCACATTGTTGCCGGTGATGATGATATCATCGACATAGACCAACATATAAAGCAGGACACTGTTGTGGTTGTATATGAATAAGGAAGCATCAGCAAGCGAGTTTTTAAACCCTGATTGGAGAAGAAAGTTGTGCAGCTCATTATACCAAGCTCTCAGAGCTTGTTTAAGACCATATATGGCTTTGTGGAGTTTGCAAACTGCTGTTGGATTTGTGGGAGAATGGAAGCTTGGTAGTTGATACATAAACACTTCATCATCAAGTTTGCCCTGTAAAGAAGCAGTGTTAACATCTAGCTGACGAAGAGGCCATTTCCGAGAGACTGCAATACTTAGAACGATTCAAATGGTTGCAGGTTTAACTACAGGACTGAATGTCTCGTGAAAGTCAATTCCTGGTCTTTGGTGAAAGCCTTTAGCAACTAATCGCGTCTTAAACTTGTCAACTTCACCATTAGGAAGACATTTTATTGTAAAAACCCATCGACATCCAACAATATTAAAGGCTTGTTCAGGCAAAACAAAACTAAAAGTATGATTGCGAAAGGGAGAATTTATTTCTTCCTGCATCGCTTTTCACCAGCAAGGATCTTTCAAGGCCTGAGCTACAGTGGTGGGAATTGTATATGATGGGGGCAAAACAGAGTCTCTGAGATTGAGTTTTACAACTTTCTTCGTGGTGCGTGTGCTTGCATGAGTTGGCACCGGGGGTGATTTTGGAACACGGGTTCTACGAGAGGGTTGAGGCAGTTGGAACACGGGTTCTACAAGAGGGTTGAGGCAGAGCAGCTGGAGGAGGTGATATATCATGGTTTTTATGGTTTTTAACCATGATGTAAGTCCTTTTTATTGAGTCTTGTTGTTCTTTTTAGAGTCCAGCTAGAATCTTTGCAGGTTATAACATGACTGGAGCACAATTGGAGGTTTTGGAGCTTTTTGGATCGAAGCAAGAATCATTCCCGAAGAAAGCAACTTAGAAGGCATATGTTGCACTAGTGACGATCGTCACCACTCATGGGTGACGATCGTCACCACTCATGGGTGATGCTCGTTACCCACATCTGAGAAGGATCACACATTTCTATTAAAAGATAAAAAGGAATTTGCACTTTTGGCCCAAGATTTCCATTATTTACATAAAGCCCCCAATCATGTTTGAACCTGTAGATTAGGTTTTTCAGCCATTCTTTGGCTTGTATCTTATCTTTTGTTCTAGAGATCTTTTGAGAGATATTGGATTTCAGAGTTTTGAGGGAGACAAATCTTGTATTCTTTTAGAGAAGATTTCGAACCCTTGTGTCTCTACTATATTCTATTTTATGCAGTTTATTTCAGTTATGATTTGTTCATCCACTTTCATATCTGAGTAATCTGTTAGTTAAGTTATAATGATTTAAAGATTGATGAAGAGTTTGTAAAATTGCGAAACTGTTAGGAAAATCCATTGGTTCTTCATCCCTGCTTGTATTCATATCGATTTCTAGAACTGATCATTCGGATTTCGAAACCCTAGGTTGTTTAATAGATGTGAGAACATTGTTAATAACCTGAACTAGTATTAGATGAGCAAAAGAACTAATCGCAAAGAGATTTGGCTTAGGAGTTTTGTGAACAATCGAAACCTGATCATACTGTTTGTTTAAGTTGTTAGAATTTGCAAAGAGATTTGAAATTCTGGAATTTAGGCATATATAACTTTTGCAATGAGAATTGATTAGTTATATCATTGTGTTTCGAGTTCTAGACATTTTTAATTACTTCCTGATTGCATGCATTTTACATTCTCGGATTCAACATGTGAATTGTCCTAGTTTAGCGGCTTTAGCATTCTGAACTTTTGAAAACATCTCAAAATCGCCTGCTTTCATTTATTTTGTTATTTTGCATTACATTCACTCATTACTACTTGGCTTAATCTGAACCTAAAATCTATAATGTAGTAGCTTACTCTTTTGGGATTCGATACCCTTTGTGCTACAACTGCATTGTTGTGCACTTGCAGTGGTAAAATAATTGGATGAAACTTAGACCATACCAGGAGGAACTAAAGGTGTGCGTGTTTCTGATGTACTTGGTGCAATAGGTATAGTGGAGAAAGAAGGCAGAGTATTGGAAACAGAGTCATGATGAGAAGGGACGTTTGGATTCATGGGAACAACGTTTGGTGGAGGTGGTATTATTGGTGTCGTGGATGGTGAGATTTTGTTGTCAAGTAGTATAGGAGTAACAAAATATGATGGTGGATAATCTCCATCGTCTTCTGTTGGTAACGCTGATACGATGTTCCCTAAAACATTAAAAGGAAACACAGATTTGTGAAAGACCAAATGTCTCGAAGTATAAACTCGAGATGTTGCACGGTCAAGGCAAAAATATGCACTTTGAAGATTAGAATAGCTAGGGAAAACACATGGAGAAGATCGAGAGTCACGTTTATGTGCGGCATAAGGTCGAAGCCAAGGAAAACAGAGGCAACCAAAAACTCGTAATTTTTGAAAACTGGGATCATGTCCAAAAATGCAATGAAAAGGAGATTTCATGGAAAGTGTTTGTGTAGGCATTCGATTTATCAGATACACAGCCCTGGCAAAAGCATATGTCCAATATGATCTGGGCATAGATGCATGAGACAAGAGAGCAAGACCAGTTTCGACTATATGCTGATGTCTGCATTTAGCAAGTCCATTGTGTTCCGGCATGTGTGGTGGTGTGGTCATATGCGAGATGCCATGATGCGAAAGGAACCTAGATAGTCCAATATATTCACCACCATTATCGGAATATAATGTTTTAAGTTTTGATTGAAATTGATTTTCAACCAATGCTTTAAACTTTGGAAACACATAAAAACATGAAAATTTTGTTTTAAAGGATAAAGGCACATATAATGAGTAAAATGATCAACAAAAAGCACATAATATTTGAAACCATCGATGGAAATCATTAATGAACTCCACACATCTGAAAACACGATATGTATAGGATGTTTTAATTGAAGAGTAGATGAAGAAAATGGTAGCTTATGCATTTTATTGATGGAGCAAGCATTACAAGGCTTATCCAGTAAAATATTTGAAGAAATAGGTAAATCAAAACTTGAAGAATGGTTTTTAAAATCGGGAAAGCAGGATGTCCAAGGCGTGAGTGCCAATCAGATACTGATGCTTTTATTGTGGAAGCAAAAGCAAGAAAAGGAGATTGGGAGGAACTATGGATAGGTTTGCCTTTCAGACAAAGATCCCCCGTCTGCAAGTCTCTCACCTAAAAATATGTAGGTGTAAATGTGACAGCAACACCATTAGTTGTACAAAGTTGAAAAACTGAAATAAGATTTTGACTAGAGAAGGAACACATAATACATTATTAAGAAAGAATGGACGAGTATATAAGGGTATAGAAAATGAACCAGTGTGTGATATTTGAAGACCAGAATTGTCTCCAAGCATTATTGCATCGCCAACTTGATAGGGCTTGTGAAGGGAGAGATTGCTGAGATCGGATGTCATATGATGAGAGGCGCCGATATCAACAAGCCAAGTTGGAGGAGTCGGACATCATCGCGGGATGTGCTTGGGGTTGCCATGATTGTGGAGATTGTTGTGGCTGCCATAGCTGTTGAAGTTGTGATCCACGAACCATTCGAAATTTAGGACAAAAATTTGCACTATGTCCTTGTGTACCACACGCCTAAAAATTTCCAAGATATAGTTTGAGGCTATAGCGATGCTGACTGTTGTTTTGATTGCCACGATATTGCTGATGTCCTCTGTAATTTTGATGTTGGTTTGATATCCAGGGTTGACGTGGTTTTGCTTCAGTGGCGTGTGCAACGATAGGTGTAGCATGAGCGGATTCAGTACATACGAGCATGGCTTCACGATTTAGCAGGCTTTCGTGGAGCTCGGAGAATGAGATCAGTGTATCTCTGCCATTGATTGCATCGATTTTCGGCTTGTAATCTTTGCTAAGACCAACGAGGATCTGTTTAGTGAGGTCTTCTGAAACCAATGGTTTGCCAAGAAGAGCGAGATCATCTGACTTTGCTATGATGTTATGAAGGTATTCGGAGATAGTGCTGGTGCCTTTGACGCATGATTTGATCTGGAATTTAAGTTGACGGATATGGCCGCGTGCGGGATTGCCAAACGTAGTTGCGAGCAGACTCCATACTTCAGCAGTCGTGGTGGCGCTGGAGACAACCAGTTGAATGGGAAGTGTAATTGCACCTATGATGGCAATATAAAGAAGATGATCTTGTCTCCGCCATGGAGGAAAAAGAGGATTGAAGATGGGTTGACCATCAACTATAATCGTATCAGGTGGAGTTGTTGTGGATTCTTCAAGGAATCTATGGAATTCATGCCCTTCTAGCAATGCAGGAACTTGTTTGTGCCATATCAAGTAGTTGACATTTGTGAGTTTTGTCATATTCGACATATTGACAGAGAGAAGAGTACTATATGAATTTTAGACATTAAAAATAGAGATATGTTCAACTGGACTCTCAGTTGACATAATAACCGTGAAGGAGAGAAGAGAAAGGCAGAGATTGCAAAGAAAAGAGATAGAGAAACAGAGAAAAAAAATTGCAGGTTTTGAGAATGTTTAGAGCTCTGATACCATATTGAGGTATGTAACTTAATGTTTAGAGAATGAGTATAGTGCTTGTTATATATACCAAGAGAGAGAGAGGGCAATACAAGGAAAACAAATATATACTAATAACTATACATAATGACGTACACCTAGTACTTATTGAGAGAGATTATGGAGTGATTGGGAGTGATCATAGGGATGTGATTATCAGCTTTACACCTACCACACAAAAATCACATCACCATCACATGTTATATAAAGAAACCCCCTTCACAACCTGAGCTCTGGACTTGTAACATGAGCTACAACCTCGATGTTTATCAGTGGTTTAGCTGATCTGTTAGCTTCTGTGTACAGTACTCTTGATTTGAAACGAAGGAAGTTCCCAACTTCCACCTACACCATCAAAAAAATGTGTCAAAATCTGTATACATCACTGCTTTGTCTTTTACAGCACAATGTAGCTTAATGAATAAATGAGAAGGCAATAGTCTCACTGGTTTGATAAAATCGACGCTGTCAACTTCAAGAAAACGTAGGGATACCCCAGCGAAAGTGTAAGCATTGGAGAAGGCCAGCTCAAAGGCCTTGCGCATCAAGAAGCCTCCAAATATTCTACCATGTTTATTATATTGCTGCGGCTGACATATCAATGAGTTTTCATGGGAAGTGTCCTTAATCAGGATGCTGTCCCGATCTGCAAGATCTGGCATGTCCTGGAATACTCGTCCTTTTGCTAATAACTCATTTACCCTCTCTAAGTCCTTCAACTTCTCACGCTCTTCTTTTCTCTCTGCTCTCTTTTGTTTTCGTAGTTTGTTCCTCTTTTCTGTTTCTTTCCAGAGAAACTTTTCATGTTCAGTTTCTGGCAATATTGGGTTAATTGGAGTTGACTTGCCTTTCTTGGCATCTCGAACCACGAATGTGAAGTTTGCTTCAAGAGCAACTGACTCAGAGAGGTCGTTGGCATCTGCAAAAAATTTCTGTTAGAAGATTTCAGCAAAGCGACAGATTCATTCAATGTGAGGAGAATGATAAAAATTGGTGTGATTCATCAAGTTTAAAAGGGGAAAAATATACCATTCAAACAAGAGAAGTCAATTTTCATTGTATGAATACAAAGATATCACTGAGTTAAAAGGTACCATGAAATTTTGTTCCAATGTGACAATAAGCTGTCTACAAGAAAAGCTGTATATAGTTTAAATTCAACAAAAATGTCACAACTAGCATTTACTTCAACTAGATTAATCAACTTTTTTACTTCTTAATTTACCAGCTCAAGCATGAAACCCAACATAATCAACGTAACTTCACTTTTTACTTGTATTGCTAGCAAAATGAAACACCAATAGTCTGTGCGTCTATCATCTATGCAGGTTTACCAGATTTGTTGTTGCAGATAAAATATCAGTAAAAGTATTTAAGACAAAGAGAAGTAATTTCTTGGGGGAAACTGAGTAAGAAGATTGTCAAGTACAAAGAAATTGATACCTTTGGATGACTTGTAATTGCATCTCTATGGATGATCTCCCGACCCATGTGTAACGCCCCAACGGCTCCTACCGGTGAGCACACCCACATCCTCTCTCGGGTCTGTGGACTCCACCTTTATCTAAAGGCCGACCGACTTATTTACTGACCATGCAATCACCACGTGGCTTTTCCTCGTATTTTGGCCTCACTCATACGGTTCCGCAGAATATTTTCCAGAAGGTCACCCATCCTAGTCCTACTCCAACTGAAGCACGCTTAACTCTGGAGTTCTCTCGAGGTAAATGACGAGAAAATGTAAGTGCACTTTGATAATATAGGTAGCCAAATCAATCTATTTAAATTTATTCAACTGGGCCGAGCCCGGATCATTATAATTCTCCTCCACTAAACGAGAATTCGTCCCCGAATTCTGATCCGGATGGTGTGAGCCCTAACCCCCAAACCCTAAGACAGTCTCGTGGAGCAGAACCAATTTCACTTCCCAGGCTGTGATACCATTTGTAACACCCCGAGGGTCCCTACAGGTGAGCACACCCACGTCCCCTCTCGGGCCCGTGGGCACCACCCCTGTCCGACGGCTGGTGCATTATGTTTCCTGGAGCCTAACCAACTTATTTACTGACCCTCCAATCACCATGTGACTTTTCTCCGTGTTTTGGTCTCACTCACACGGTTTCGCATAATACTTTTCGGAAGGTCACCCATCCTAGTCCTACTCCAGCTTAAGCATGCTTAACTCTGGAGTTCTCTCGAGGTAAATGACTGGAAAAGGTAAGTGCACTTTGATTATATAGGTAGCCAAATCAATCTATTTAAATTTATTCAAATGGGCCGGGCCCAGATCGTTATAATTCTCCCCCACTAAACGGGAATTCATCCCTAAATTCTGATTCCGATGGTGTGAGCCATAACCCCCAGACCCTAAGACAATCTCCTGGAACATAACGAATTTGACTTTCCAGGCTCTGATACCACTTATAATACCTCTGACTGCTCCTACCGATGAGCACACCCACGTCCTCTCTCAAGCTCGTGGGCCAACCCCTGTCTGACGGCCGATGCGTTTTTTTTTTCGGATCCCAACCAACTTATTTACTGACTCTGCAATTAATATATGATATTTCCCCGTATTTTGGCCTCACTCACACAATTCCGCAGATTACTTCCCAGAAGGTCACCCATCCTAACCCTACTACAGCTTAAGTACGCTTAACTCTGGAGTTCTCTCAAGGTAAGTGACTGGAATCGGTAAGTGCACTTTAATGATATAGATAGCCAAATTAATCCATTTAAATTTATTGAAATAGGTCGGGCCCGAATCATTACACCATGTAACAGCGTTGGCTATATTGAGGTCATCATCCACACGAATTGGTCTTTTCAAGATAATCCTATCCACAGAAGCAGTCACCAATATCATTGATCTCGCACTGCCATCACCGCTGCTGCAATGCTGTTCAATTAAGACATACAATTTCCCAATTACTTAGGATTACAAACACATGGAAATATGATATTGGAGAAGGAATACAATTGATGAACAAGAGAGCCAAAATCTATTCATAATCAATTAACTTCTAAGTAAGCCAGGGATTGACAAAGCCATTCAATCCAAATTGATTGCCAGGAAATGATCTTATGCGGAGTTAGATGTGATTCTAGAGTTTTCAAAATGATACAACAACATTATGATCAGAGTAAAAACCTTGAAGAAGATAATTCCAGCAAGAGCGTCAAGATCTTCGACCAATTTACCCATACAAATCTAATTCCAAGGGTTTTTGTACTGTTCGCAGAGCACGAAATCAGAAGAAAACTTATAGAGAATCGTCTCGGGTAGGATTTTCGAACATCTTGCGTCTGGCTTCCCAAAGCGCATTAGTCAACGGAGAATGGTACATTCCAGCCTTCCAGGCCACAAGCTGACGGGTTTCCGCATAGAAGACCCCACGTCGATCGAATTTTGATCAGGACTTGTCTCATCGGGCGGCACCGCCATGGAATTCCACATCTTCTGAGAATCGCACGACCTTGAAGCCGGAATCCAAAAGCCAGCTCCAGGATTCTGTGGTTTCTCCGTAGAGAATGTGAGAGATGCTTTCCCGCCGACGATCCCATGGGAGATCTATGATGATGGAATAATTCGGGAGGTAGGGTTCTCAATTTTAACCTGATCGAAGTACTCTCTCACTTTTCAATTTTCATCATGGTGTTGATCTTCTCAGCTACGGTGCTATTAACTCAAAATTTCACAAACACACAAAAGAAGAGCGAAAATACACATTTAGAGTAGTTTTTCTTCACCACTTGTTCGCCCTAGCCGCCAGAGAGAGAGAGAGAGAGAATAAAAGAGTGATTTCTTCTTGGCCTCTCTGGTGTTCGGTGGCTTCCGCCGGCACTGTGAGAAAGCGATTCCTGTTGTTTTCTGCTTTTTTCTGTTAGGATTTGTCTTTGGGTTTGCAGAGGTGTGGTTGGGTGGAGTAGCATCTCCTGTTTTTGGTGGTGGATCGAAGTCAGATTTGGTTTTTTGAGGAAGGTGCGGTTCAATTTTGACGGATCTACGACGGTGGGGAGGAGCAGGTGTTTGTCGCCGTTCATCTTTGGGCGCCTTTTCCGTTTGATTGTTGTCTTTCTGAGTGGTTTTGCTTTCTCGCAGGCGAATTCTAAAACCCAATCTTGGGTCAGAGCGGTTTTCGAGTGAACTTGCAGATCTGTGCTCTCATAGCTTCAATAGATTGGGAGTTTTTGAGGTACAAAAGATCTCATTTTCCTTTGCTTATTAATGGAGAGGAAGTTATTCTACTAAGTTTCATCAACTGTGATTGTGGTTCATCCCTTCAAGTATCTTTTTGATTTCAATCTTATTTCTTCTTGGTTTTATCTTGCTGAATTAGATGTTGTATTTCAAATTTGTATCTCAAATCTGTATTTCACCATGTATGTTTGAAGGTTAGACACAAAAAAGTAGTTTTTCTTAACCAAGATTGAGTTTTGCTTTGTTTTGACCAATCAAAAGATTAAAATAAAAGAAACTTGTGTTAGCTTGTTTTGATGAAAAAGCATCAAAGTTGTTGGGTAGAAATTTTTTGTTAGGTTTTTCTTTTAACACTTGTTTATATTCCTAAATTTCAGTTTTTTTTCTTCTGATTTATATATACTAACTATATATATATATGTATATATATTGGTGCGAATTATATATTTCGACTTTTGTCTTCCAAAACTTTATAAAAGTATAGAACTTTAGAGGTCATGAGCAGTTTCAAAAACCAAAAAAAAAAAAAAGGTCATGAGCCTCACCATTCTTGTATTTCTAGTGAAAAGCTAATATTACATCTTTATACTACAAAGAAAATTAGACGTAATTGTGTATTTACTTCCCAAAGATATTGGATGTACAAATCTGATTTTGACGAGACAGTAGAAGAAGATATTGCAGTAATTGCCTGCTAAAAGGTGCGTTTTTCGACCAGTAGAGTCGCCACCGTCATCGTTTTCTTCACTTCCAGACAAGATCATTCTTGCACGTGTCTCGAGATGGAATTATCCGTCGCTCTCTCTCGTCTCAAAGAGATTCCACTCTCTCTTATCTCCTACGGAAATCTATAAGACGCGATCTCAAATCGGATCCAAAGAAACATGCTTCTATGTCTGCTTAAGCTTTTACAATAGCCCAAATCCGAGCTGGTTTAGTCTTTGGGCGAAACCTAACCAAACCCTAACCAAAAAGAATGGGAAGCCGACAAGGTTTAAGCCAGACTCAAGCGGAAATTCGTTTGTTCTGACGCCTTTTTCTTCTTCCCATTCCCATCCCATAACTAAATATTCCACCGTAACGGTTGGTTCAGAGATTTACATCATCGGTGGGGATGAGCCGTCTTCCTCTGTTCGGATCCTTGATTGTCGGAGTCACACGTGGCGTGACGCCCCTAGCATCAGGCCCGGTCCAATTAAAATAGTGGTCCAAAGCTATAAAAGAAGAAGATGTAAACTTTATTTGGTCATTTTAAATTTGTGGGCCCATTTTTTAAATTTTTTTAAAATTTGTGGCCCATTTTTTAGCCTAATTTTTTCAAAAATATTGGTGACACTAAGCGCTGGCTTAGCCCGCCTACCCTCTGGGCCGGCCCTACCTAGCATGACCGTGGCTCGGGAGGACGTCGATGCGTTTTATCTCGACGAGAAAATATATGTGATTAGAGGTTGTGATATTGACGCGCTCTATAAGACGCGATCTCAAATCCAATCCAAAGCAACATGCTTTTATATCTGCTTAAGCCTCCACAATAGCCCATACCTGAGCTGGTTTAGTCTTTGGGCCAAACCTAACCAAACCCTAATCAAACACAAACAGAGTGGGAAGTCTAGGTTTAAGCAGGATTCAAGTGGAAATTCGGTTGTTCCAACACCTTTCTCTTCTTCCTCTTCTCCTCCCAGTTCTATAACAAACTGGTCCCCCGTAACAGTTGGTTGAGAGATCTACTTTATCGGTGGACCCCGGAGTAAGCTGTCTACCTATGTTCGGATACTTGATTGTCGGAGTCCCACGTGGCGTGACGCCCTAAGCATGTCTGTGGCTCGGGAGGTCGTTGGTGCATTTTACCTCGATGGTAAAATATATGCGATATTGACGAGTACTCTGCTAATTGGTGTGAAGTGTTTGACATGACTCAGTCTTGGACAGCATTGCCTGGTCCTGGCGCTGATGATGACGAGTTACGCAATCGTTTACGCCAAAGTGGATATATTGAAATAGTCAATGCATTGGAAGGAAAGCTTTGCCTAGCAGTAGGTTACAAGGAGTACACTTACGAGCTGAAAGATGGTACATGGAAATTTGCAAGAGAGCAATCGAGTGACCACCCATTCGACTCCCTATACTGTTGCGAGATAGGTAATGTAATATACTGTTGCACTGTATACGGGGAGTTAATGTGGTCTGAGTCTGACCCTAAGACAAAGAGTAGAGAATGGAGAGAGATCAAGGGTTTGGAAAAACTGCGTGAGCACCGTACAAGGGGTTTAAGAACTGGGAGTGACTTTTATTGAGATAAGCTTAATGGGATATTAGGTGTGATAATCATAGAGTTTGAATAGATTAACATATATCTCAGATTCGTGTATATCTCCTGATTTGTAGGAGCTATCACTGGCGAATGCTATGTATAAATACTTGTATCATAACATTGATGAAGGACAAGAGAGATTACGGCAATTTACATGGTATCAGAGCCTAGATCCTAAAAACACTAAGACAATTTTTTTTTTTCTAAATCTCTTTCTCTCTTCATTCATCAATCTATCGATATTTTCTATGACGGGTGAAGTAACGAACTCATCTGTGGTGGCTGGAACAAGTGGATCAGGAATTCCTGATATACTCTTTTCTCCTTACTATCTGCATCTGTCAGATAGTACAGGACAGGCATAAACTCCAATTCTCCTGAATGGAGCTAATTACGAAAGGTGGTCGAAGTTGATGCTTAATTCACTTCGTACCAAGAGAAAGTTGGGATTCATTGACGGATCCCTCAAACGACCGGTTGGAAAACCAGACGAAGAGGAAAAGTGGGATATGGTGAATGCTATGATCATTGGTTGGATCTATAGCAGCATAGAGCAGAAGCTTCGACCATCGATATCTCTGGTCGATAGTGCAAAGGCGATGTGGGGAAGCCTTCAGAGATGTTTCTCCGTGAGTGATGACACACGTATCCACCAGCTACATGCTGATATTACAGCCTGCAAGCAGAATGGTGAAACCGTGGAAGTGTATTTCAGCAAGATGAAGGTCATGTGGGATGATCTTGCTGATTTTGAGAAAGGTTTTACTTGTTGTTGTGGAAGCGCGGATTGCTCTTCAATGACGAAGTATGAGAAGATGCAGGAGAAGATCAGAGTGCACCAGTTCCTCATGGGACTCGATACATCTCGGTTCGGAACTGCCCGATCTAATCTTCTTAGTCGACAGATGGATTTGAATTTGGATACTGTATACTCTCAGATCATACAAGAAGAGAGACATCTGAATGCGATGAGGAGTTCTCGGCAACGACAGCATCCACACCAATTTCACAACAATCTTTCTCTACCACCGCCGGTGGTCAGGCAGCAGCCACACGGTTCGTTAAGCAAACGACTGTGTGTTCACATTGCGGGAAACAGGGACATGAGTCCAATAACTGCTTCCAGGTGATTGGCTTTCCGGATTGGTGGGACAAGAACAAAACCTCGGGCGGACGTGGAGGTGGTCGCGGCAGAGGAGCTGAGACTCAAGGGAGAGGACGTGGTGGTCGTGGCTCTGGTTTCCGAGCCTACAATACACAACTTGGGGAGTCTTCTACAACAAGTGAGAATGTTTCTCCTGGGATCCCCAACTTTACCTCGGATCAATGGGCCACGTTGGCTCAGTTTGTGAACAATAAAGCTTCCAACAACTCCGAAAAACTCTCGGGTATGAACGATAAACTCCTTCTGTTTGGCAGGAATCGTAGACATGATATTATTATCGATTTGGGAGCCTCTCATCATATGAGGGGAGACATAAAATTGCTTACTCATGTGGAAAATATCGCGCCTTGTCCCATCTCTTTACCTGATGGACAAGTTGCTGGGCCACACGTCATGGGACATTGAATCTTGGTGGCCGTCTCACATTACAAAACGTGTTCTATGCGTCTTCTTTGATCATTACCCTCATATCAGTTGCACAATTGCTTCGAGATGTTGCAAGTTTTGTGATCTTTACTAAAACGTTTT